TGACGTGAGCAGGACTGGATCTTCTTCCTCCAGCTCCTTGCTAGGTCACCTAGGATATGCATGTGCATACACCCACGGGCCTCCCGCAGTAGCACTTGTTTCACATCATACTAAGGGAGAGGGAAGAAGTGCTATCAAAAATCCTGTTTGCTACTTACATACATGACAAAGCTGAGGCCTGCAGTTACGCTGCAGATATTTGCTCTGCGGTGTAAGTATTAAAGTGATAGTAGAACCTACATAACTATAATAATATTACCTAGCTCACTTTTCATCAGTAGCTCTCAAGGTGCTTTACAAAGGAGGGCAATTTTAGCTTCATTTTACAGGTGGGGAAACTGAGGCACGGCAAGGGGACGTGATTTGCCTGCAGTCACCCGGAAGCCCAGTCGCTGGGTGACTGAGCGCAATCGCTTCTTCTTGCTGCAGTCACAAGGGCCAAAAGTATTCAAAAACATGGGTGCAGAAAATTAGGTATCTAAGTAGCACTGGCCTGATTTTCCCACAGATGCTCCATAGCTCACACTGAAGTCACAGGGAGATTCAGGTGCTCATCACCTCTGAAAACACTGGCCAGAGACGATGCATAATACTTTGCTATGAAATGCACTTGCACTGCCCCAGCAGCGTTCACGTGCGCTAATGTTACTGCTAACTCTGCTCTTTCTGTAACCTACTTCAAACCAACCCCCTTCCCCGAGGGGCTTCCCAACTCGGGTGTGGGCTGATCGAGGAAGGGTCCTGTTTTTAAGTGATAATAAAAGCGCTAGGGATTCTGGGTAACCTGGTACATATCAGCAGTACGGGGGGTTGATTTCAGAGGAGCATGCTCAGTAAGCATAGGGCTTTAACGGAACGATTGATTTATGGAGCAGGAAAGGAAGCAGGTCTCCTTGTGAAAATACAGTCATTAGTTAAATAGAGAACACAAGGGGAAAGGTAAACATTTAACTCTTGCACTAATCTGGGAGTGAATGGCTGCTGATCCCTCTTCCATCACCTCTGCCAAAGAATAGATTCCCTATAGTAGTGCGGTAATACAGCAACCTAACCTCCTTCCATGTTTCAGTGACATTAAGGCAAGAGGCCACAAATGGGCCAAAAGCCAGGAAATTCACCCTTCAGTCCATGAATAAATCACATTAGGGAACTAACACTCACCCCAACCTAGTCCAGCAGTGTTATCACCCTTTACTAGACATTTCCTGGCTTCTGTTGCCTTTGGGTCATTATCTAGAAGTAGTTTCTGGTACTGAATATCCTTGTTTGTTTGTTTTTAAAAGCACTAAATCTTTCATGAAAGGTTGTATTGGCTTCTGGTGAGATTCAAATCCCCGGCCATCATACAATTATGTAATTGGAAATGTGTCCTATCATAGGAAAATAGTTGGCAGCAAAGTGAGCAAGGAAAACAGCAGGCAGACGGTTACACAGCAACTTCTCAGGGTTTTCAAGTGTTTTTGTTTGTTTCCTTTTTGGTGGGAAAGGAATGTTGAGTTTGGGGAAAAGGATTGAAGAATGGAAGGTGGAAATAGCAAAAGCAAAAACACAAGGCCATATTGGACTACTCACCTGCCAAACTAAAGGTGGGAATTTCAAGAGTGTTTGGTACTGCATTGACTTCAATGGGAGCAGAGTTAGGCCAATGAGGTGTATTTCTGAGAATCCCACACATAACTGTGTGCAGTAGATATTGGTTAAAATTGTCAAAAGTGCCTAAGTCCCATTTTCAAAAGTGACTTAGGCTGGAATTTGCCAAGAGATTTAGGCACCAAGTCCTCATTGAAATCAGTAGGAGTTAGGTGCCCAAATACCTTTTTGAATCCCACCCTTAGGCTTCTAAGTTACAGTGAAAGTTAATGGAATTTAGGCTCCTAGTCACTTAGGTAAAGCACCTAACTGATAGCTAACTTCTCTCTTTGAAAGAAATGTTAAGTCTTTAAAACATAATCCCTTCCCCAGACCTATGCACTTCAGCACCTTAGGACAGAAATGCTGACACAACCTTCCACTAGTGTGAATGTGAATGGAGTACTATCAGAAAGGATCACTTTGCTTTTTCTTGATTTTCACTTTACACTCCCTCTCCTTTTCCTGGAATCATAAATATGCTAAATATTCGAGCTGTTCCTAGTTTTTCAGACAGCAGGGACAGTGCAATACTTAGATTCTACTAGATTTCAGTTGCTTATAGGAACGGGTCCCGTGTCTGTAATAGAAAAGGGGACATTTGTCTTGTTAGCTCTCCTGCATCTGAGTATGATCAGTGTCAAGGTTCCTTCCCCACTCTGAACTCTAGGGACCTGCATGAAAACCCCCTAAGCTTATTTTTACCAGCTTAGGTTAAAACTTCCCCAAGGTACAAACTATTTTACCTTTTGCCCTTGGACTTTATTGCTGCCACCACCAAGCGTCTAACAAATATATAACTGGGAAAGAGACTGCTTGGAAACGTCTTTCCCCCCCAAAATCCTCCCCAACCCTACACCCCCTTTCCTGGGGAAGGCTTGATAAAAATCCTCACCAATTTGCATAGGTGAACACAGACCCAAACCCTTGGATCTTAAGAACAATGAAAAAGCAATCAGGTTCTTAAAAGAAGATTTTTAATTGAAGAAAAAAAGTAAAAGAATCACCTCTGTAAAATCAGGATGGTAAATGCCTTACAGGGTAATCAGATTCAAAACATAGAGAATCCCTCTAGGCAAAACCTTAAGTTACAAAAAGACACAAAACCAGGAATATACATTCCATTCAGCACAGCTTATTTTATCAGCCATTTAAACAAAACAGAATCTAACACATATCTAGCTAGATTACTTACTAAGTTCTAAGACTCCATTCCTTTTGTGTTCCCGGCAAAAGCATCACACAGACAGAGAGAACCCTTTGTTTCTCTCCCCAGCCCCGCTCCAACTTTCAAAGTACCTTATCTCCTCATTGGTCATTTTGGTCAGGTGCCAGCGAGGTTATCCTAGCTTCTTAACCCTTTACAGGTGAAAGGGTTTTTCCTCTGGCCAGGAGGGATCTTAAAGGTGTTTACCCTTCCCTTTATATTTATGACAATCAGTTATGCAGATAAATGATTGGACAGCTGTGGATCCCTTCTTAGTATGAACTCAGACAGGTATTCCCTCCCTCTCTGCATAGGCCTGCATTTCCCATCGACCAGGGGTGGCCAAACTTACTGATCTTCTGAGCCATATATGATAATCGAGGACCGGGCGTGCTTGCTGGGGCTTTGGGGCTTCAGCCCTGCGGTGGGGTGGTGGGGCTAGGGTCTTCTGTGCTGTGGGGAAGGGGGTCTCAGCAATGGCATAGCCAGGTGGGGAAAACAGGGGGAGCGGAGATAAAAAAGGCGCCACCCGGCTGACCCGCTGCTGAAGACCCAGAGCACCACTGGGCGAGTAAAACTTAAAAAGGCACCAAAAAATGTAAAAGGTGCCACTTGTGCTCGGTGGGGGAGTGGCCGTTTCCCCGCTCCCCCCAGCTACGCTACTGGGTCTCGGGGCTTCAGCCTCACAGGAAGCACCTGTCGGGGCTTGGGGCTCCAGCTCCACTCCTGCTGAAGCCCCCAGCCCCAGCAGGTATGCCCTATGGGGCGGAAGCCCTGCCTGAGAGACCCCCCTCCCCGCTAGCCCCACCACAGAATAGAAGCCCTGAGCTTCTCCTGTGCCCGCCCCCGAGTCTGGTAGATGAAGAATGGGAGGGGGGGATGAGTTCCTCCACGAGCCGCATTTTAACTGTAAACGAGCTGCATGTGGCTCACGAGCCGTGGTTTGGCCACTCCTGCCATAGACATTGATGGGAGTTAAACACACACAGAGAAGAGTACATCCACTGTATCTGTAAGTGAGGCATCTGCCTCTCTCCCTCCCAGCTGTCTTTACTGTTTACCTGCTGATTAGTGGGTATTACAAACTGGAATACATGCACAGACTCACCAATGGGCCAGGCAGCTCATATGGACACACCCACAGCAGTCATGGGGTCTTTCCCTAGAGATAACAAGGCACTAAAATGCACCCTTTTATTTCCAGCAACTTGCAGCCAGTCACAGGGAACTGGCCACTGCTGCTGACCCCAATCAGGGTAGGGCTGGGGTTGGAAATTAGAATTAAATGGGGAGCCACAGTCCGAAGCATGGGGCCGGGGGAGAAGGCTGTGCCTTTAAATACAATCCAAATGCGGGGAGTTCACATGCCACCAACATTTTAATGAGAGAAATAAACTCCCAACAATGCTTGTCTTTTTCCCTTCACTGAACTTTTCTAGGAAGAAAACCATCCTTCTAACCTTCACGGCTCGCTGATTAAAGGTCGTGCCTGAAATGTTTTCAGAAAAGAAAAAAAAGAAAATAGATCTAGCCCAGCTTCTGGAATCATTTAAAAAGATGTTATGAGTCAGCAAAGTCCCCTATAGCAGCTCAGATTCACTCTGGTGCCTTACTTGTTCTGGTGACCTTAAAATGTGGCTGTGTGGAGAAGGCAGAAAATGGGGATGTCCGATGAAATAGGACAGCGGTTGTGTTTTTTGGTTTTGTTTTAAAAGCAATTAAACTACTGGTAGGTCTCCGGGGACTTCCTTTCATAGTACATATTTACTGTACTTCAGCAACATGAGAGAGTGTACGTCTCTGCAGAGTTGGTAGGTTAGTCTGAAGAATGTTCTGTGTAACCCTGATGAAAAATGTACTAATGTTATATGGGTCTAAAGGGGCTTTATCCCTAAATTGCTGTTCCAATACAGAAGGGGAATGAGATCTACTGTTATAAGGCACTTTCATACCAGTCTAACTGTGTCCACGCTAGGAGTTGTACGTATAACTACATCAGTAAAAAATGACACCCCTAACTGAAATATCTACACTGGTACAAAAATTGTGCGCTGTTTACATTGTTTACACCTAAAATGTGCTAGGTTCCGTGCAGACCTAGGAAGAAGAGAGGACAATCTAATTCAAAACCACTGGTACCTAACTGGTAGGTCTGCCATTTCAGGTAGACCAGTGGGACGAAATAACAGAAGATTCAACCGTGGTATAGTGGAGGAGTGCTGTTTTCGGAGCTGCGACCTTGCTCTTTTGGAAACATACTGCGCAAAGTCTGTTAAGTCTGAGCGGGACCTCTCGTCCTCTTCTCTTGTGGTCCTGCCAGCACTAAGCAAGGTAAGTGAAGATTGTATCTAGAAATCAGCCACTCTTTAAAAAAAAAAAAATCCCACTGGGAGAGGAAAGTTCTTATCTCTAAGATCTGCTGCTTCTGCAGTAACAACAGTACCTAGAGACCTTCATGGAACATAGAGTGAATATCTTCAGTGGGGAAATAATGTAAAATAACCTGTCCAAAACAAACATATAATAAAGTGAGAGATCAGATGACTAGATGAAGTAAATAAAGAGAGTAGGGTAAATAAAGATTAAAACTGAAAGGCAAGGGAGGACTCAAATGAGTTTAATAAGAACAGAAAGGACCAGCAGATCATCCAGACAACTTGTGCTGGCCGCTACAAAGTGGAAGTAGCTCAGTCACGAAAAGTAGTACTGGCTACTGGAGCAACAGGAAAGCATTGTAATCTGGTGGAGAAAGCGGGGGACTGGGCATATGACTCCAGAGTTCTCTTGCTGGCTCGTGTGTTCTAAGGCCTCGGCTACACTGGGGGTGTGGTTCGAACTAAGATATGCAACTTCAGCTACGCTATTTGCGTAGCTGAAGTCGAAGTATCTTAGTTCGACTTACCTGGCTGTCCTCACGGCAGGAAGTCAACCGCAGCAGCTCCCACGTCGACTCCGTTTACTCCTCCTGCCGAGGTGGAGTACAGCCGTCGATTTGGGGGTCGATTTATCGCATCTAGACAAGACGCGATAAATCGATCCCCGATAGATCGATCACTACCCACCGGTCCGGCGGCTAGTGAAGACATAGCCTTATTGAACTAACTCACCTCTAGCACTGATCTGCTGATGCAAGGCACCAAGGGCCTGATTTTGCCCGAGGGACTGAGCACCCTCAGCTCCAAATAACTCCATTTGAAATTGTGGATGTTCATTAAAATTCCGAATTGGACCCTGTAAATGCAAATTGCAAGATTAGGGAGATGATTGATTCTCCTTTATGGTTCAGTAAAACCATCACACCAAGAAACAAATTGAGGCCACTTGCTTCCTCCTGTCTCATTTAGTCTTTCCTGTCCTCATTTAGCTAAAGAAAAAATCTTGCTGTTAATAATAGTAATACTTAGTTTATATAGATCTCAAATTACTTTATAAAAGAGGACAAGTGTCATCCTCATTGGGGAAACTGAGGCCCAGAGCACTGAAGTGACTAGTCTGAGGTTACAGAAAAGTCAGCAATAGAATCAAACCAGTATCCCATCCACTGTGCTATGCTTTCTCTCAACAGCAGCAATAACTGGCAATGTCTGAGGGAGATGGAACCAAGGGCTAAATTCTTCATTTTAGAGACACCTGCCTATTTTTTGTGGGGAAAAAGTTAACATTTAAAAAACCCTCATCCTGCTTGATATTTGCAGAAGGACCATCTGGGCTGTGGGAACAAAGTTGCTAGCATTTCCTAGTGGACAAATACATCGGCCCCACATACAGTCAGGAAGATGAATACATTTGGGCTAAATTGGATTGCAGAGATATCTAAATATCTAACTAAAAACTAGGTTTTGCATCTGAGCAGAGCCCTCGAGTGAAAGCAAATCTAGAAGAAAATGAATTGCCATCCATAATTGCCTTTAGTGGCTTCATAAATACTTCTGCTAGTACAGCAAATCCTTTAAATGAATCCCCCTTTCTCCAAAAGCAGTAACACACTGTCAGGGAAGAGAAGAAAAGCAATGAGAGAGTGCCCATCACAGGTAACTTCATACCCACCAATGCACAAGAGCTGTTAAATATCTCAAAGCCAGGAGTGAGATGTCACCCTTTCCCTCCTAATGCAGACTTTTTGCTTTCAGAGCCTCAGATTGGGCAGGTCTGCCTAGCTGGGTTTCACTGGGGCAACAACAGCCCACAGTGTCATGGGGTTTTCAGCCAATGGTCTATTCAGAGTGACCCTCATTTTGTTTTTCCTTTACCACCCCACCCCCTTTCACTTCTTTCAGGATAGCTTTCAAAAACCCTCGCATGCCAAGTACTCCAAATATGATGTGTGGCAGAAAAAGAGCTCACAGCGCCTACAACAGGGAGTTCCCAGCATCCTCCGCGCTCGCAGGTACCGGTGGCAAGCCGAAGGGTTGCAAGCATCTGATGAAACCAAGGTGCATCGTCCCCTCATCTCCCTGCCCAGCCAGAAGCCCCTGGTAGTGCAAGTTTCCTCAGAAACATCAGGGAACCGGAAATGAACTGTGAAATGGATTCTATATATTTTTTTTTTTAAATCTCCTGGGGGGGACTTTTGAGGCCTAACTTCCCTAGCCCTTAGCCCTCTTGGCTGCGAAGCAAGAGGGATATTGCCTTTCCACCCAGAAGCAATAAAAAGGGGGCACTGTAACACCATTTTAAAGAGAACCAAACAACTGACATAGTGAGAATGGGATTACAGCATTGTCAGCAACAACATAATTTCTGTGGCATTGTCCTTTAAGCATTAAAGTGTTTTTTTTTAAACTTCTGTTTTGTTTTGTTCCCCTATCTACCCAGTATTTTCAAGCCCATACTTAAAAGGGACCGTTTGGCACTTGAACTGTTTTAATATTGGGCAGGGCATGGTATCCCACGTGCCAGCAGCAGAATGCAAAAGAAAGAGCAAGAAAAAAGAATACGAAATTGAAAAACAGAAGAGTCCATTCCATGTCTTTCTTGACAAGAAAGTGAAAAAAAATGGGGCAACATTTATTTGGAGGGGTTAAATTTTTTCTCATTCCCACCCCACTTTTTTGTTTGGTGTTTTTCTTGTTTTTGTAAAGAGCAATTTTTTGTTGTTGTTTGCACCTTTACTTAAAAACAAACAAAAAAAGTAACTGAGAAGAAATTCCAAGAAGACCCATCTGAATTTATTTGTGTGTGTATGTGCTTAATTACAAGATTCCAAATCGACTTGCACCTTTTTAAAATCACGGATGAAGTGTGAGAAAAAGGTAAAGGAAAGGGGGGGAAAATAAAAAAGAGGAAGTGAACTGATGTTCACTTTAAATAGAGGAGGCGTCTGCATTGCACATTTGCCACGGATTTAGTTGATTTATATATATAATATATATAACTTTTTTTGGCAAAAAGCACTATTTTTATGGGACAATTTTTGTGTAGTATCTGAAGAGGGATTGTAATGTTTAAAATGTGTTATGGTGCTAAAGTAAGTTGGAAGGGGGGGAAAACCCAGAAATAGCAGGGGGTGGGGTGGGGTGGGGAGGGAAGGACAAGATATTCAATACTGAACTTGAAATTGTAGCTTTTCGTTTTAGGAAAAGTGTGATAAATGTGTTTCTTTTCTCTTCTGAAATATAGCTTGGTCATGACCATATGAGCTAGTTGGCTGTCACTCACATACACAGATGCACGCACATGCAGAAATACGTCTATACGCATTTGTTTAGATCAAAAGGGAATTTTTTGAAAAAGATAAACTATTCTGATGTTGTTAAGGTATCCGAGTTACAACTCTAGGCCCCTATTCTGCAAGAATTTAGGCATGTGCTTAACTTTTCACCCTGAGTGTAGTTCCATCAACTTCAGTGGGATTACTAATAGCGTGGAAAGGTAGGCATACGCTTTTGCAAGATTGGGGCCCTAGCATTCACATCAAGGTTTGTGTGTCATTCATGGAGTCTTTTTTGGTCTCCCTCTACCACTTTCTCTCTGAAGGCTCACTGAGGCCCCAGAGGCATCCAGTGGGACTATTCCCATGTTTGAAGTTGGGCACAGTATCTTGCTGAATCAAGGCCTGCATGAGTTTCCTCAGAAGCAATAGCTCCATGACTGATCATCTCCTTATCCCACTCCTTCCCTTGCCTCCTCCCTTTTCAAAAGGGTAGGCGCAGACTCTACTCCACTGTGATCCTCTTACACCATTCCAGGACAGGTGGGCAGAATGGTCCCTCAGGGAATATCTCCAGCCTAAGGGGTAGAGCTGGCAAAATGATTCTGTACCATCCTTCCTAACACGTCTGGTCTAGGGAGGATGGCATAGAGAGGCTGCAGTCAAAGCTTGCTACATTCTGGTTATTTTCACTTTAGGGGACCATGGAAAGTCTGAGTGTAACTTAGAGCACTAGGCTGCTCTGATTAACACTGGAGATGGGGCAGACCCCTGAGACAGCCACATAATTCCAGAGGTGCAAAGGTGGTTTTTGCGCCTACTGCAGAATCAAAGCTGATGCCTAGGAGGGAGAGGAAAGCCAATTAGCTTGCCGAGGCTCAACACCGGGGTGAGCAAACAGGTGTGTGAGGTGGGTAGAGGGCTGTAAAATAGGTTGGTTTAATATATATAAAATCTCTCTAGGAACCATAAAAAGGGGGAAATCAACTAAATTTCCCTCTGATATACTCTCATTTGCTAATAAGATGGGGACACTCTGTTAACCAGTCCTGTACTTGCTTTGCCTTATATAGCCAGACATTTAAAACATTTTTTTTTAAAAAAGAGACTACTTGAATTGTATTCTATTTTGTGGTTTTGGGGAGTGAGTGAGTGGGAGGGGCTGAGAAGGGGGAGGATATTAATGTATAATCCTTTTGTTTATTAATATTACCTTGCAACGTTGAGCCATGAAGCCTTTGTTTTTAAAAAAATGGCACTGCAATATACAACAAAAAGCAAATCCTTTATTTATTTTATTATTAAATATATATGAAAGAAAACTAAAATTGGTCCAAATTTAAATGGTGGTCTGGGAGTGGGTGGGGAAGGCACAGAGCAAAGAACTGATTTTTCTCTTTGTGTGTCTTTTTAAAAACATAGTTTTTATTTTTAAAAAGAGGGGGAAATGGAGAAAAAAAAAAAAAAAGCTTTCCTGGATGCTTTGTACCAAAAATAAATATTTTTTTTAAAAGTGGAAAATACCTATTAAGCAAATAAATATCCATCTGGAATATGAAGCATGCCTTTTTTCTTTTCACTTTTATTTATTTTTGCTCTTGGGGAAGAGGTGGGGAGAAAGTTGTGCCAAGGGACAATATTCATAAAGGCACAGAGGAAAATTCTTTAAATATCCTCTCTTTTGGCTCAATCCTGCAAGATACTACATATACTCTGGCCCTGATGTAGCAAAGCACTTATAAGCAGATGAGGAATCCAACTGAAGTCAATTGAACTCACGCATATTGTTATCATATGCTTATGTGATTTGCTAGATCCCTTTGATAGGTTTTGCTAGGGCTCAGCGCTTCACAAGTTTTGGCCCTTTCTAAGGACCCAGTAATAGCTGGAGTTCTGGCTTACAAGAAAAGATAGGCCTAAGGCACCAAAGTTCAGACTAAGATTTGAACTTCCACGTGATTTGGGGTCTTGAATATTGTGGGCCTCTCTGCAGTTGTGTGGGCCGAGTTCACAGGTTGCCGCTTTGCACCTTGTGTAGGCATTTGCACCAGTGCAAAGTGGAAGTAAAATCCTACCACTCTCATTTGGTTGCAGTTTCTACCCATGCATAAAGTGTATGCAGATGATGATAAGAGCCAATGGTGCACCAGATCCTTGGGTCCCAGTTCAGCAAGATACTCACACACATGCCTAAGTGAGTGTGTGCACAGTCCCTTTGACTTCTGTGGCACTACTTGCATGCTTAACACTAAGCCACTTGCTTAGGAGTCTTGGTGAATCCGGCCCTCAGTCTCCAAGTGGAAAGGCTCATGAACTTCAAAACTGAAGCCAGCAGTTGAAGCACCAGAAAAGGCTTTTATTTGATTTTTTTTTAAAAAAAATATGCTTTAAGAGTGGATTTTCTGGGAGGTAGTATTCCTCTTGTGCTTTATGAATATTCAACTGGGTTTTCATTGACATTCACCCAAGAGTATTCTGAATAGTTGCCTCCCTCTGAACACTTATTTTGCTGTCTGCACAGGGAAAGGGGGTAGTTTCAAGACATTTGGTTTAACTGTACCAAAAGATATTTCTAAAGTCTACAGCGACTCCTTACTTGGTTGCTGTTCCTTGTGTGAGCTGCCACAGGCTCAGTCCCTCCATGTTAGAGGGACTTTTTTAAGGCTTCAGTGCTGAAACTCAGTAGCACTATAGAATTAGCGTAGCGCACAGACCTCCTCTCCTGCACGGTATGGGCTGTTTACTCCGTGGCAGCTCTAGGGAATAAGGGAAAGTTTTAATGCTTTCCTTGCTTCAGAAAGAAGGCTAAGGCATCTAGAGATGATACAGATAGAACCTAAAACGTCAACCAAACCTTTTCCTATCTGCGGTCCCTGGTTCCCACGGGGAGCATAAGCAGAAGTGCTGGAAATACCAAAAGAAAACCCTCTCATGATGTTTCCAGCTCTGTCTTGAAGATGCGAGAGGTTTGGTTCAGGTTTTGAGTAAGCATTCAAACTCAACCTTTGAAGTTTGGCCCATCGCTAATTGCATGTAGCAGGTGGAGTTGTGACGTAACACAGGAACTAAAAGGGAGTCCTGCAGCCCTAATTTGATCAAAGTCATTGAGTTAAACAAAGTATCAGTAGGTGTTTCTCCTTTTGGCTGGTTCACTTCACTTGGCCAGAAAGACTGAACGGGTTAAGCTCCATATGGAACTGGTATCTTTAAGGAGTGAATGACTTACCCTTTTCTGACACATTATGTTGCTGGGGGCTTCTGTTTAGGGCATTGGACCAAATGGGCTAAGCTACAGAAATATTTTCTCATCGATAGTGTGGATGGGGTTGGAGTCAAGATCCTGCAAGTGAGAACGAGAGGGATTTCAAACCCTATTTAGAAGTTCTCTTGTTAGTCCCACTATCTGATTCACCTTATCCCTATGCCTTGCAGAGCACTGAGGTCTGCTCCAGGTTACATTGGTGTAAATGAACTCAATGGATTTATACAAGTAGAACCGATCAGAATTTGTCCTTGTGCTCCTCTGTTAACTAACTACAACAGCTATGGATCTGGTAAGGGGCCACATTTGCTTGTGTGGAAAGAACCAACCTAGTTAGATGACTAAGAGACTTGAACACCCAATTCCCATTAATCGTTTGAAAATCTCTGACCAGAAACTTAACCCAGTTGGTCCAAGTCTGTCGCACTGATGACATGTCTCACACAGACTTTCCGTATGGAACTGTGCTCGTTCAGACAGTGCTTCAGAGAGCAGAGGGCAGGGGAAGGACAATTTTACAGCTTTTTGTTTCAGCACAGCATCTGAAACTCCCAGCATCCTATGGGCTTCATGGAATTCCTCTGGTGCCACAGAAATAACCACAAAAATCATTTCTCTCCTCCTATCCCATTGCCATTCTGGGTGATGATTTTAGGTATTGCTTCTCTGTAGGTTTGCAGGGGGAAGCAGGGCCAGCTGTTTTCACACTAAACACCTTTGTTGGCATTCATTTTCAGCATCATACACTGGGATTTTGGGGGTGCAACTCATTTATGGAAGTGGCACAACTAATTCTTTGGCTGCAGTGTTTAAAGCGTATAAGTTAGTGTCTCTGCATTTGGGGAAAATCACTTTTTCTTCGTATACATTATTTTATGGCTTGTTTGCTGGTAAACACCAGAGCTGTTCTTCCAACCTTCTGTGCATAGCAATAGCACTTTAGGGATGGAGCAGGGCCCCCAACTGGTTCCATTGTCTTAGTATCGCACAATAGCTTCATCCACTTCATCCTGCCTGATCTCAAAGGCTCAGTCTTTTGGTGATGGACCTAGCTGCCTCTGCACTAAATGAAGGGAAGAATTGTATTTGTTGTTTAAAAAACTGGTTTTGTCATTGTATGTATTACTGTCCGCTCATGTTTTATATGGTGGGGGGTGGGGTGGGGTGGGGTGGGCTGGGAAGGGTATTAATGTATCTTGAATCATTTCACTTGTGTGCACTCAGCCTAATATGCAAGACTCAAACTGCCCGGATTCTGC